GAAATTATATAAATTGCTAAAATATAATAAAAATAAAGTAAAACATATATAAATATAAATATACATACATATATATAAATATATAAACAAACTTACACATTTACTCAAATATAGATATATATATACATATACATAAAAAATTCCTCAAACAATAATATAAAGCAGATAAATACAATAGATACATAATCACTTAATTTATTCTAACGGTGTTAAAACGACTGAGACAAGTAATGCTCTTTAAGTAGTCACTTAAATATAACAATCGTTTGTGCTTCACGTATACGCAACGGTAGGGCATTCCAGAGCTTGATAGATTGGACAGTAAAAGATTTATTAAAAAAGGAAGTATTGTGAGTTGGAACCCTTAAAATGAATTTTCTTGAAGAACGTAGAGGTTCTCCTGGAAGCCCTACAAAACTAAACTTCTCCTTTAGATAAGGAGGTGTAGAAGGGTGAAATAATACACAGTACAGAATAGAAAGAATATGCATATTCCGGCGAAGTCGGATAGGTAACCACTTGAGACGTGAGCGAAATTGGGAAATATGGTCAAATTTGCGCAATCCAAATATGAACCGAATACTAGTGTTTTGAAGTCTCTCAAGCTTATTTAGCTGGTCCTCAGTTATGTCTACATAGCTTGCGTCAGCATAGTCGAGAATCGGAAGGAGAAGAGACTGTGCGAGCATAATTTTTGTAGGAATGGGAAGAAATGATCGAAGGCGACGCAGTGAACTAAGAGCGACAAAGGTTTTCTTACTTACCTCATTCAGTTGGCGTATCCAATTTAAGGAGTTATCGAAATAAATACCAAGATTTTTGACACTGTCAAAGTAAGGAATTACAATTCCATCGAATTCGATAGGTGGTACGGAGGACCAGTCAATTCTTGAGATAAAGCTCCGGCTACCAATAATAATGGCCTGTGATTTTTTGGGATTAACATTTAGGCCGTATGACTTACTCCACTCATGAATAATATTTAAATCGTTATTTAATGTAGAGATTGCATTCGGCAAATTCTCAAGAGTTGACTGGGTGTAAATCTGAACATCATCCGCATACATGTGGTAGAGAGAAGATATTTTATGAGTGATTGAATTAATGAAAATGGAAAAGAGTAAAGGTGACAACACGCCGCCCTGCGGCACGCCTGCAGTAATATCACACCAAGATGAGTGAGTTTCATCTACACGAATACGCTGCCGACGGCCACAGAGATAACTTTGAAACCAGTCAATTACTGATGGAGATATGTTAAGGGAACACAATAGACTCAACAGTATATCGAAATCAACAGTATTGAACGCATTACTGAAATCCAGCAAGGTCATGACTGTGAGTTGTTTATTATCCATACCCCACCGTATGTCATCAGTAACTTTGATTAAGGCAGTAGCCGTACTATGACCAGGACGGAAACCTGATTGTAAAGGATTCAACAAATTGTGCTTATTAAGGAAAAGGGTTAGCTGTTGGCAAATAAGTTTTTCAAGGACTTTAGAAAGGAAAGGTAAGATCGAGATGGGACGGAAATCAGAAAGGTTGACAGGATTGGATCTCTTCGGAAGGGGTATAACATGTGCACTCTTCCAGGCTTGAGGGAATTTAGACGAAGAGACACATGCATTAAGTAAATAAGTAATAGTAGGAGCGATAACATCAAGGAGAGGAATGATCATATCACGGCTAATGTTTTCGCTACCGACAGCTTTTGAGGAGATGGATAATATGATCTTCTTAACATCACATACAGTAAACTGACTAAAAACGAACGGAGGATAATTAGGAGTCGGAGTTACAGAAAGAGAACGAAGTGTTTGCAATTTCTGTTCTCTATCAAAAGAGTTAGAAGGATTAGAAAAATGTTGATTTAATAGTTCAACATCAACACAAGGAGGTAAGGCATTTAGGGATGTTCTTCCAACTCCAACTGTTTTAAGAAACTTCCACACTCTAGATGAGTCGCCGTTCTCGACTGATGTATGAATATGGCGTCGTTGTGCATCTCTACATAATGTATTGCAGCGATTCCTGATTTTGGCGTATTTCCTTTGGTTTTCCTCTGTTTTATTCCTCTTAAGCTTTGACAATGCTACATTTTTCTTCAAGATAAGTTTTTTCAGATCATCAGAGAGCCATGGAGCAGGTAAATGTTTGAGTTTTACGTAATGCATTGGCGCGTGAATGTCATAAAGCTGAGTAAGTAAGGAACAGAAAAGTTCAACTTTATCATCAATGCACGGTACTCTCTCAATCACTGACCAGTCAATGTTATGCGCATCTTCACAAAGTTGGTCAACATCCATTCCTCCAAAATTACGTCGCAGAACTAATTTAGGTTTGATTTTAGGAGGGCGTAGTTTATACGAAAGGAAAATTAAATCGTGGTGAGAGAATGCATCAGCAGGACACTGTCCGTGTTTGAAAACCAGTGTTGAAGATGACACTATAATTAAGTCAAGAAGGGAAGGAGTACAGTTAGGAAAGTTATGAGTAGCAGAAAGGGGTAGGATTTGCATATTACACGCTTCAATTATAGACTTAAGCTTTATAGCCCGATTGTCGCCTTTAAGCAAACAGGTGTTAAAGTCTCCCATCAAAATAGTATGACTATACGTAGGGACTAGTGATTCCAAAAAGAGATTCGAAAGAAGTAAAATAGTTTACAGAAAGAGAGGGACTGTAGAATACTCCAAGAAGGATTTTGTTCTGAGACAGGGAGACCTCAACCAGCAAATGCTCAGCAGAATCAACAGGGGGTGGTTGACATGACGAACTAACAATTTTTAATGGAAAGTAGGATCTAAGATAGATCGCCACGCCCCCCGCCACCCCTATTAGTGCGATCATTTCTAATTAGATGAAACCCGGGCAAAGAGTAAGAAGTAGAAGGCAGACAGGGTTTTAGCCAAGATTCTGAAACTAAAATAGCGTGAATATTTTGGGATTCAAATGACGCAAGCATGTCAGGATAATGAGCCGGAATGCTTTGGGCATTAATATGAATAGCATTGAAGTTATTCACACAGTCTGAGAAACAAGAATTTAAGGTAATGTTGAGTGAAGGAGAAGCAGTTGTACTGTGATAACTAACGTCACTATGTGTCTCATCATCTGAAGACAACGTCAGAAACAAATCACTGTCATTACAAATGTTTGAGGATAACATAAATGCTATATTAAAATATACAAATAAATTTATACTACTTATATACACTTAAAAAATAAAATATAAATAAAAATGCAAGATCAGACAGTACCTACACTATTACAACCACCAGCAGCATGAAAGAGAAAGCATATAACAATACAACAACTTAATTAAAGAAATAAAACAATCAGTTAAATAGTAAAACTTCCCAAAACTAGCTGTCTGACACCAATAAATTGTAAGAAGAAATTAAACACGTCAGACTAGGCAGTATGGGTTTATATGCCTTTGCCATACTAATAAACTAAAAAAAGAAAGAAATCAAAGAATGCTTCTGCTTCTGTGGTTACAGGCTTACAGGTATATTACAATATAGACGACGAATATAGATTACTGACTTGGGTACCAATGTCATTATAAAGTTAATTAAACGTAAAAATTATTATCAGAAAATAGAAAACAAATAAAAAGAATTAACAATTAATCTACCTGTATTGTGCAATGATTAAAAGGCAATGAAAAAAAGGAGGTAATATGTGGCGGAGGTCTATGATCAGCAGTAGACTTTAATAAGCTGTAACGGTAAGCTGCTATTTTACGCTGGTATTCTGTGAGAACGTGATCCTATCCCGGCTCGAGCAGACCAGTTGGAGCTACAACCATACCTAGCTGCAGCATGACTCTACCACATTTTCTCGGTGAATGGCAAATAAGTACTATTTTATAACTTCCGCTTTGAATTTCCTCATTTACGAATAAGGAAAAATTGTAAAGACCGTGCATGTTAACAGTCACTGTTACCAGTAAATTTTCAGAATTGATTTTTTTTTGGTTATTTTTATTGCTAATTAGGTTTTTTTTGATCAGATAAGCAAACGCTTGTCAGCGCTTTATACATACTTAATTAGCTCCGGTTTATTTTCCAGTCGATTGTCGCTTTATTTCTGGATGAAAACCGATATCCGATACCAGTATGTGTGCCGTAAAATGGTCTGTTTCGAAACTCACTTTGTGTGATACTGTGCGAAGATGTCTCTCCGAACAACTCGAATCTCAAGCACACTTTGCTGTGTAAAATTGTGCTGAATTTTTTTGTGACGCATCCTATTTGTGTTATTTTTTAATTTTCACTGCCTGCAAGTTTTCGTCTATAACAATTGTCAAAGGTAGCCATAAATTTTAAAAATAATTCCTCAAACTTTGCATGGCATATTCTTGTAACATTGTCATTTTATATCAAAATTCCAGTGTACGTGCTTTCGTTATTATTCTCCTCCTAAATGCGACTCCATAAAGTAACTTGGATAGTTTTTAGTTGGACCCGATAGTTGGTACAGTTGTCGAGTTCAGGTGAGCCGACGAAACCGAGGCGGTTCGCTAGTACGTAGTCGTATTTCTTATAGGCATAAAATATATGAAGAAAAATTTCAGTTTGGAATATTCATCGCGGGGGTGTGGGCGGTTTTGTTAATTTCTATTTGATTAGCTGGGTGTGTATATTATTAATCAATATCTTGGAATAAAGTAACAACATGACGGTGCCTCGTATATAAAAAGGCACTCACACAGTTTTAGTGCTTTATCAGCATCATCGTCATCGTTACAGCCCCTCACAAACTCTACTTTACACTGATACTTCCACTGCTGACCATAGGCATCCCTCAAGGAATGCATCAAGCACTGTTTTGGTTCATAGTGTTAACCAAAAGATTTTGCCATTACCATCGAAATCTATATGAAGAGATTATTGCATATTTATCATATTTATTAATTGTTGCTACGTGTGTGCTATAATATTAACGACAGTTTTGTTCGCAGGTGGTGAGGTGGACGAGTGCGGGGGGAAATGCTGGGCGGGGCGGCGGGGGGCGCCCGCTCCCGCCCGCCCACTGACCTGCAGCAAGGTATGTCGCCCTGGTATTACCGTGCGCTATTTAATATGAAGGCCGTTTTGAACTTCCAATTTCACTAGCTTATAAAATAAACCAATTTCCCTTCGAGTCAGCCATTTAGTTCTGTTCGGATGACCTAAATTTTATCTGGTTTTTACAAACTGGTTAGCAAAAGATCGTTTGAAGAATAGTTGTGTTATTTACACATAAGGAAAAAGATTATTCATCATCACTGGTGAACATAGGCCTCATTCGTCGACTTTTTATATAGAATAGTGGACAAACGAGCATGCGGCTCACCTGATGGTAAGTGACACTGCTGCCCATGAACAACTGCAACATCAAAGGAATAGGTGGGATGGGGGTTACATCTGGTTGAGAGAGGAATGGCAGGTACGTTTTGGGCCTTTTAAAAAAGAATAAGCTCATTTCTTGAAGGTCCCTAAGTCGTTTCGGTCTGGAAAAATCGCCGATGGTAAACGATTCCACAAAGACGTTGTGCGAAAAAGAAATCGAGAAGAAACTGTTACTTTAGCTTTTTACCAGGAAGTCACTCCATCTAGTATAAAAAATTAAAATTACTTATCTTAAGATATACCTACATATTTTTAAACTGTAATATTAGGTAGTATATAATAGTAGGAGACAAAGAAATAATGAAAGACTGTGCTGTGTACATCTCGAGTGATGCCAAAAACATGATCATGATCATTTTCTTGACACGCCATCACATATTTCATCTTTAGTTATCAGCCCTTAAAGTTCAATGATGGACGCACACATATGTAAATAACTAAAACCATAGTGATGGTTACAAACGTTTTAAGTTGCATCTAAAATGCAAACGTGAGTATAGTGCGAGTTCTCACAATAAGTTGAGAATGTTTTTCGCTTGATTTTGCTTTATCACTTGAAATGTTTGCAGCGTTTTTTTTCTTTTTTTTTCTGAGCTTTATGTAGAAAAATGATTAAACATGCAAATGAAAATTTTTTTTTGACTGATAACTTTTTATAATTTTGGCGAAACGAACTAATTGCTAGTGTTGACTGATGAAAAAAAACCAAATCGATCTGCAAAATTATCACAACCATAAAAAGTTTATAAATTTAAGAAAAGCATTATAAATACTAAATGAACAGTTAAAACACTGAGTGAGCGAATAGGTTCACGTGCGACTGGAGTGGCCACTCCAAAGCCTCGAACCTTTATATAAAATGAACAAACTCAATGTTTAAAACAGTAATTAAATAACCCGACTGCGTTAAAACTCTACGGAAAAAAGAAAACTTCAAATACTATATACCCTACAACAATTCCATAATTTAAAAGAATTTAAGGACACCCATACGTTCAAATCCATCGAACCGTTTTAACTATTGAGCGTGCCAGAGAACTATACATACATTACATTCCATGTCATACATACATGTACATGCACACACGAAACATTACCCTCCTTCTGGCGCAGTTGGGTAAAAATATAACTTATTATTATTACATGTTTTGATTACTATTTAGTCTATGCTAAAAACCAAACCTGAGTGTAGTTGTTTTCAGTTGTTCATAGCCAGTCAGTCTCTTAATATTTTAATAGACGGTATCCAATACCACAGTAATCATATATTATTTTTCAAATTTTGAATTTGAAATTTAAGTCATTAGCTTAAATATTTGCCTATTATAATGCTTTCTGGAATTTTGCATCTTCAGCTATCTCTAAAGTGTAAGTGAAAAATATATATGGTAATACCTACGATGTTTTTATTGAATAAGATTTTGGTCAGTACAAATATACCAAAGGTATTAAACCAAAACATTAACATATAAATGTTTTCATAATATCATCTAAAACCCACCAATATTCGAATTTGTAATCATTGATAGCGATGTACGCGTTTAACCTTTCAGAGATTAAACGCGGTAAACCTATTAACGTGTTGTTGTTCATTATCAGGTGCGAGCAGATTCCCGCTATACTCGCTGTTTCCTGCGCAGAGAGCCAACAGATCCACGTTGAATAAAGGTTGGTATTCAAAAACAGAGAAAACAGTTATTAAAATTAAAAAAAAACTATCAGAAACAAAACGAAAACATTATTAAATTTTCCTTATAGTGCTTACCGTTGTAGCTGAGAGATAAGCGCTTGCCATATTAAATATTTATTTCTAAAAGTAATGAACAATTTATCTGATCGTACATCGTTAATGCAGTCATGAACCAACTAGAATACATATTGTCTTCACCTCTTAGGACTTAGATGGAATGCCACGGCTTGTAATTAATCGGAAACGGAGGCCGGAACATAGAAGTGCACGCACGACTACTTGCGGCTGAAATACCAGAGTGTGGTAGGATACCAAGATAGAAACTTCCACACAGACAGAAAATAAGCCCAACAAACGTCTTGTGTTAGAATGAAATTAAATATTCCTTATTTTATAATAACAGTAAAAAACAACAATCCATCCATTAATTACAGCCTATATAAGTTCACTGCTGAACATAGGCCTCCCTCTAGATTGCCTCATCGGTGGGACTTTGGCATAGTTGCCAGACTTGGCAGGTAGGCCGGCAACCGCAGTTATTTATCATACAGAGTCAGGTATCAGGTATCAGGAAGATACTGCTGTTTTCCTCTGTCGCCTCTTGTAGTGGATATTGTTACACCACCACTACATACTTAAATAAATTAATACGTCTAAAATAAAATATATAAAAATGTTTCTTAACTCGAGTTCTACCCACGCGTTACGCCGACTGCCCTCTGATGTAAAGCGAATTTACATTTCCACCACCAACCATCTTCTAATTTGTATCTACTTCCGTTCATACGTTCCCTTTCATTCAGTGATTTTAGATATATTATCGAATCTCCACATATATGATGTTAACGTCAGGTTTCATCCAGCCGTATTATATCTACATGTCTAGTAACTGGCGCTTAGTAAAGAACGACGCGACTCCTGACACTTGCAATTCTTTACGTCCGGGTTAGCCAAATTCAATTTGTTCTACGCATTCTATGATGTCCTCTTCACTATCACCATATCCTATCCATTACCAGGAGATAGACAGCATCTTAACAATAACTGCGATCGCCTACCCAATCAAGTAAGCGAGGGGGCTATGTTAACTTAAAAACTGCAGTGAACTGCGCTAAGCCCCTCACCATCACGTGTGCTGTAGATTAGTTTATCGCTGTACCTACTAACACATACGCATGTATGTATTTATTAATATCGCTTAACAACAACAAGGTCCTGTATGCCTGGTTATTATTCTAAGTTACGGAAGCCCATTTTGATACAATTTCCTGATAACATGGGAACAGAATTGAAGGGCAGGGCTTGGTGTGAATGGGTGCTAATTGTGTGCCCATTGATTATTTCCTAGCGGGGACCGGGATCAATATCGGATGCGGTGTGATTGTAGTGGCGCCATTGTTGGCCTAGCTGTAGGAAGTGCCTTGTGAATTTGTTTGCCTAATGTGATAAAAACATTTCAAAATTATTTGTAAAAGAAAATTTAGTTTAGTGGCTCCGGCTGAAATTATCCACATCGGTTTGCCGAAAGTAATTCTTGTATACTGTCACTATCAATCACTAAGGCCCTTTAAACTGGCATTGAGGCTTTCCATCTCAGTCCCCAAGAGTGCCAAGGGAACTACGTTTTGATTCTTAATTTAAGAACGATGTGTGGTAGCTTGTTACTTTGACACTTAATAAACCATATTTCAACTGCCAAACAAAGTACTGATCTGAACATTAATCCTTTCAGGAAGGGCTGCACTTCTTACGCGGTCTCTACTCAAAAACCTTTCTCTATTATAAAAAAAATACAGAATAGTAACTGGACTTGTGATCATCATGTTAATCTTAAAGTCAAATACGTGATGAAATGTTTAATAAATAAAATTAAACTTTAAATTACGATACGTACTGACCAAAAAATAAATGGGTAAATCTGCCTTTCAACTACTGTGTAACAGGTAGCGTTATTTTAATATTATATTTTTAACTTTCTAATATTATAATAATTCAATTTCATAGTTATAATATTTGGTATATTTTATTCATTAATTGATTATTAGTAGTTCAGGCGTCATGTCTAATTTAACAGTTTATCACCTAATAAAAATCAAAGGAACCAAGCGTTCACTTAAAAATTTCGGGTCGTGTTTTGCTAATTACAACTGAAACTAGACCGGAGAACTGCGCTTAGGGTTTGTTAGCTTAATTTCCATTTTAATAAAAAATAACTCTGCGCTTTGATAGTAGACGGTAATGCAATGTTATGTTATGTTTTATGATTATCATTGCAAGTTGTAATCATCGTATCTATATTCTAAGTAACCAGCTGTGTATACTAATTTTTTTTTGTGTTTTTTTATAGAATAAGGATGCCAAACGAGTACACAGCTCACCTGATGTTACCATCATCGTTGATGCTGTAGCCCATAGACATCTACATCAATCCTCGATTACGAATCAAAGTGCAGATGCGTTGTCACCCGTGAGGACTAAGATGAAATGCCTCGTTTCCAGTAAAAAGGGTCTCCGGTTCTCTACACTCACCATACAAAACACAGCAGCATCAAGCTGCTATTTTACGCTGTTATTCTGTGAAAACGTGGTCCTTCCCAGGTCGAGCCGACCCATTCGTGCTACAAAATTCGTGAATATCGCGAAATAAATATGTAGATGCACATACATATATTTATTTTAGTTCGCTGTAAATATAACAGAACGCGAGTAACCCGGGTTCGATACCCGCCGTCACGAACGAAATTGTTAATTGCAATTTTAAGTGCAGATTTACCACGTGCTCGACGGTGAAGGAAAACATCGTGAGGAAACCTGCATGTCTGAGGAATAAGAAAAAAAATATTTCGAAGACATGTGAAATTCGCCAACACGCATTGGGGCTGCGCGGCGGCCACTTACTTACCCTAAAACGCTCTCAGAAATGAGAGAAGGTCTGTGCCCAGCAGTGGGACGTATATAGGCTATAACTTTACTTTACTTTACGTACATCTGCTGCCAACCAGGTGCTTTTTAGACTAACTCTTTAGAGTCTTTACATTATTAATTAAAAAAATCGTGAATTTAACATACAATTGCCGGACATTGCACCGTGGAATTGCCGCGACTACTGTTTGAACCACCTAGCACAAGTATTTTAAGCTTATCAGATGTGGTTATTGGGGCTATTAGTGATATTAAATATTGCTAGTATTTTTTTAATAAAAAAAAATGTAACAACTTATACAAAGGCTAATAAAAATATAGCTTTCTGGCTTCAAAGCACTTTGCGGTTAGATTTAAATAAAAAATACTCCATAAGTTAAAAAGTCTGCTCCCAAAACACGCCTACATAATATATAGTAATTACAATATCTTTAAATTTATATACGTCACAAGTACTTTTATGGCCTACAATATTTATTCTGTTGTTGTTGATGCTCGTCGAAGTTATTTATTCGTCGATGTTAATGTTATTTATATACATATATGTGATACTCCTCCACGATACAGAAGAAATTCATAGCGGTATATATATCAATAGGGGTAATTTTTTTTTGAAAAAATTATATATATCCCGATAGCATTTAATTGTCACTCAAGGGACTAGGCAGAGACACGTAAGTCCGTGGAATCGATGGAAGTCGTCTCGACGCAGTCTCGTCGGCTATGTGTACTCTTAATTTGATCCATCTTCAATATATCTTCCGTCTAGGGCGTCCTTTGCTTATTCTTCAATTTTATTATGTATTGCTTTATCACTCTTAGATAGAGGTATTCGTGCTACAAAATTCGTGAATAACGCGAAATAAATATGTACATAAGATGCACATACATATATTTATTTTAGTTCGCTGTAAATATAACTCGTCGTTTCATACCTGTACAATCTTTCTACACGACTAAATCACTAAAGCATTCCTTTCTTAACCCTGGTCACATCATCTTCTTGCAAACCACACTTCTCTTATCACAATTTCTCAACCAGTCATATCAATCATCCCTAAAATACTCCATTAATATTATATAAAATAATATGTAATTAAACCAACATTTAAACTATACTTATATTATTGTTAATATTAAAGTAAAATTTAGTTTTTAATAATTTTTTATTTTTAGTTTTAAAACAGTAAAGTATGAAAGCACAGTGGCAATTAACAATGCATTTGGTTTCTGACGTCCCGAATAATTAACAACCGCGGGCATAAACAACAACGAACTGTAACGAACGTCTCGAAACGGATTAAAAATCAAACATAACATAACATAAACACTCACGCCTGTCACCCAGAGGGGTAGGCAGAGACTACAGACTTCCATTTGGCACGATCCTGACACACCTCTCTCGCCTCCTTCACGTCCATATACCTACGCATACATGCTCGTCGGTTAAGGGTACTCCTAATTTGGCCCGTTTTCAATAAATCGCCAATTTGGTCGATAAATTTTCGCCTAGGACGTCCCTTTCCGACTCTGTCATTCACTTCTGCAACATAAATTTTTTTTGTCACTCTTTCCTCATTCATTCTTTCCACATGACCAAACCACCGAACATTCCTTTCTTAATCCTGGTCACAACATCATCTTGAAAAAAAATCAAATAAAACGAAAACCGAATATCATTCCACATAACCGGGTTACGTTATGAGGCTTGACAGCGCCCGGAGCGACAGGCGTGAAGATATGCTGCGTCCGACGTCTCGCTGCCATCTTGTATTCGAATTGGGAAGGCAAGCGCACACGACACCGATGCGATGATCCCTTACGGAATTCCATAATCGGCGAATATAATGTAATTTACGTTTTATAATTTGTTTCGTCTTTCTTTAAAAAAACTTTACCTGCACACTAGGGTTTGTCCTGTATCTTAGGGAGAGTTGTTAGTAACAAATATATCATATCATATCATAAACACTGACGCCTGTCACCCAGAGGGGTAGGTAGAGAATAAAGACTTCAATTTAGCACGACCTTGCATACAAGCTCGTCGGTTGAGAGC